GTCTGTTTTCCACCGACCCGTGCCATGTGTCTGTTGGTCACCCACCTATGTCATGTGTCTGTTGGCTGCCAACCTGTGTCATGTATCTGTTTTCCACCGACATGTGTCATGTGTCTGTTGGCCGCCCACCTATGTCATGTGTCTCTTTTCCACCGAATGCCGATCCCCTGTGTCATGTGTCTGTTTTCCATCAACCTGTGTCATGTGTCTGTTATCCACCGACTTTTGTCATGTATGTGTTCTACGGACCTGTGCCATGTGTCTGTTGGCCGCCGACCTGTGTCATGTGGCTGTTTTCCACCGACCTGTGTCATGTGGCTGTTTTCCACCGACCTGTGTCATGTGGCTGTTTTCCACCAACCTGTGTCATGTGGCTGTTGGCCGCCGACCTGTGCCATGTGTCTGTTGGCCGCCGACCTGTGTCATGTTGCTGTTTTCCAACAACCTGTGTCATGTGTGTGTGTTGTCCACCCACCTGTGTAATGTGCCTCTTGGCCGCCGACATGTTTCATGTGTCTGTTGGCCGCCGACCTTGTCATGTGTCTGTTGTCCACCCACCTGTGTCATGTGTCTGTTGGTCACCCACCTATGCTATGTGTCAGTTGGCCGCCGACCTGTGTCTAAGTCTGTTGCCCTCCGACCTGTGTCATGTGTGTCTGCTTTCCACCAACCTGTGTCATGTGTCTGTTGGCCGCCGATCTGGGTCATGTGTCTGTTGGCCGCCGACCTGTGTCATGTGTCTGTTGGCCACCCACCTGTGTCATGTGTCTGTTGGCCACCGACCGGTGTCATGTGTCTGCTGGCCACCGACCTGTGTCATGTGTCTGTTTTTTTCCACCAAACCGTGTGTCATGTGTCTGTTGGTCGCCGACCTGCGTCATGTTTGTTTTCCACCGACCTGTGTCATGTGTTTTTTCCACCGTTGGTCTGTTGGCCACCCACCTATGTCATGTGTCTGTTTTCCACCAACCTGTGTCATGTGTCTGTTGGCCATCCACCTTTGTCATGTGTCTGTTTTCCACCGTGTCATGTTTGTTGGCCACCACCGACCTGTGTCATGTGTCTGTTATCCACCGACCTGTGTCATGTGTCTGTTGGCCCACCCACCTGTGTCATGTGTCTGTTTTCCGCCGACCTGTGTCATGTGTCTGTTGGCCATTCACCTTTGTCATGTGTCTGTTTTCCACCGACCTGTGTCATGTGTCTGTTATCCACCGACCTGTGTTTTCCATGTGTCTGTTGGCCCGACCCACCTATGTCATGTGTCTGTTTTCCACCAACCTGTGTCATGTGTCTGTTGGCCATCCACCTGTGTCATGTGTCTGTTTTCCACCGACCTGTGTCATGTGTCTGTTGGCCACCCACCTTTGTCATGTGTCTGTTTTCCACCGACCTGTCATGTATCTGTTTTCCACCGAACTGTCATGTCTGTTTTGGCCACCCACCTTGTCATCTGTTTTCCACCGACCCGTATCATGTGTCTGTTGGCTACCGACCTGTGTCATGTGTCTTTTGGCCTACCCTTTGTGTTTTCCTCCTCATCCTGACGCTCGACCCACGCCTAAATCTCCTGCACAAAGCTGACATTAGACCCAGATTTATCTAAATACTTAACTCCTATACCTTGATCTCAGACCCGGACATTACCAAAGGCCCAACTGTTCTTCGTTGTCTAACCCTAGGCCTAGCCCTAAAATTATGGCATAGCTAATCTGTCTTACCCAGCCCAAACTAACGACATAGATATCCACTTGTCATGAACGTTACTATATATGGGTGTTCAGATAACAGCCCACCGTGAAGGCTGTAGTCTTGGTGACAGGCAATACGCGACAATACATTGGGTGACGCAATGACCTACATACCGCTTTTAGGATTGGCAGTTGCACAATTAGGCGGCTTCTACGCAGCAGTAGCAGTCACTTGTGTATGCCTGCTTCACGCTTGTATGCACCGCACTTGGGCTGACGACGCTGACATACGAATAACCGAATATAACCAGGAATAACATTTTGTGATTATCAGGTGTGAGGACTTACCTGTGATGCAATCGGATGACGCTTATTTGACTTCATCAGTCGGACGTGAGTACTGTGTGTTTTCTACACTAGCCATTGCATTTCAGACAATGTTAGGTTGTCTTTATGTTCTAATTCTCTTCGATCAAACGAACATAAATTATTTATTTATGTACAACAAAACACTTCGCATGGGTAATGCCTACCGCAGGTCACAGGCGAGCAGGTTTATTGCGCAAAAGGAGTATACATAGAACCGACAGATTATTTAGTACGTATCCATCTCATGAAGTCTGCACCTCCAGCCATCCCTGCAAAAAAGTTCAAAAGCAGAAAAGACTACTTACACATGCATAAAGTATACTACCAGTTATTACGCAATATTATCAATATTTATTTGTTTAATTTTTAAATATTTATACACGTAAATTATACGTGTAATTATGTTAACATGAGAAAACCTAAAATACTCATCTCCAATTCCTTGCATCCCGGAAACAATTCCCCGCTTCAGGCCAGGTCACATCTCCACGTCGCTGCATGTCATGTCAGAACACACCAGGTAGCACCGCTCCTCGCCTTACATCAGAAGCTTAGTACCTCACTGCTGATACAGAACGCAATACTGCACACATTAACCATTCGGCTTGTAATACCTCCAAACGGAATAAAGATTCAATACTGAAACTTTCCCTACATAACTTCCAATACACTTGACTGAAAAAGCTGCTCGCTGTGTAGTGCGAAGACCTCGAATGGCTAAACTCACATTCAATCTCACCACGTCACCTTCGTCACGTGGCTTCTGCACAACTCTGCACGTGCAAAACACGCTCACTGCAGTAGGCAAGCTCTACTGTGTTTAACCTTAAAATAAATTCATTTATGTTCTAATTCTCTTCGATCAAACGAACATAAATTATTTATTTATGTACAACAAAACACTTCGCATGGGTAATGCCTACCGCAGCTCGAAATTAAAAAGAGACAAAGAAGGCAAAGAAACGAGAATCATTTATTACAGCCCAGGAAAGTTACAAGCCTAACATACAGAGTGACACTCAACAACTCTTTTTATGTCATCTTAAACATATCCGTCTTTTGCCGTGTCGGAAACCCAGCGGCCATGTCTCTTAAACAACCGATCAGGTACACCTGCACTCGCAGCGGCTGTTGCTCCCCAGAACGAAAACTATGCAAACCAAAACTGTTCACATCTATTCCTATTTCAGTACATTTTTCCTGAAAATTTCTCTTGTTCTCGTGTAAGAGATTGGCTTATTGCCTCTGAGAACATACTTCTTTTGTTTTTACAGTAATTCACTTTGTCTGAACAAGAACTCATGGGAGTCTTCTTTGATATTTGCTGACAACATATAACGGCGAAGCATATTCCCTGGCCAGAGTTGGGAATCAGACGCCGCAATCACAACAAAAATCTACTGTCTCTATACACGTCTGTCTTACTCTTTTCTATGAAAATACGAACATATCCTTCATGAAAAGAAATATCAGAGCGCCTAATTACGGAAACTTCAGAAAATCTGGAAAAAGCCAGCATATGAAAGAATGGACATTGTCATAAATCTTAAATCTACAAGAAAGAATCCTCTTTGCCAAATCTATCGACTAACCGTTCCAAAATACCAACATCTATGGGGTCTTTTTTCTTGACAGGGTCACTGTGACATCTCCTAGCTGCCTCTTTAATGTTCTTAATTAGGTCATGTTGACATGGATCTGGTAGACCCGCCACTCTGTGCGCCCATCTTATACCGTACACAGCTTCCATAATAACAGGAGACCTTTTACCCGACTGAAGCAATGACGTAAGGTATAAGCCTACATGAAAAGAATTTGCAGGCAAAACACTTATTTCTTTAAACCGTGAGGCCCATTTTTTTCCAGCATGTAAAAGCTCTTCTATATTTTATAACTGTCGTATCTGCTTTAGATTTTAAAACTATATCAGGCATTTTTCGTAGATAAGTCAACTAAATCTTGGTGCACCAGAGCATCTTTCTCTTTCCATATACCAACGGAAAACATACCTGAAAAGATATATAATCAATTGTTAAATCTGAGAGCTAACACGAACCCCTTGAAATTATTGAATATAGACTGCTTGCTCCCCACCTGAGACAGCGCTGCTGCCACTCAACTGAATCATATCTGCAATGAAATTTCTGGGTTGACCTTCCAGGAACAACAAGGGGCCAATATGGAGCGGATGGCCACATAGGCACCTGCACTAAAGTAGAAGGAGCATTGCATGCTAAGATAAAATGTACAGTTTTACACCAAAATGTACAGGAGGAACTGCCCAGTTGTTCTCCCCCATGCCACTGCTGAGTAAATGCATCAACTGCCTCCGTATCCGGTACCCACGATCTGGAATTAAACCTTTCTAACTTGGTATTCAAATGGTTAGCAAAACGATCTACAGAATGTGGCCCCATCTTCCATCCAAGAATTTGAAAACATTATCTGTAACTCTCCAATCATCTGAATCTTCAAATCTACTCAGAGCATCAGCCTTTTCATATTTCTGATCTGGGAATCCAGCTGAACTTTAACCTTATGTTGTACTGATTGGCTATCACAAAGATGGAGGTGGCAACTTGTTGTAGATGCTGTTTAGAACTACCACATGAAGCTACACAACAACATGGCTTACTATCAGTAAACCACTTTACAGTCTTGCCACTTAGAACCCTGGTAAACGCAATGAGAACTAATTCTATGGCCTTCATTTCTCTCCACGTCGAACTACCACGTTTCTCTTGAGAGTCCCACACATGTTGAAACACATGATCAGAATCTGCAACATAACCTCCACAACCTATGTCACTTGCATCTGTGAACACAGACAGCATAGGTTGAATAACAGTAGACAACACTCTTGGTTTTAGACAACGCAAATTGTCTCTCCAAAACAGCAATTCAATGACAATTTTCTAACCTAAAAAATCTATCCCAGGAAGAAGCCTTATGGACCTCCGAATACATATGCCTTGTGAAAAGTCTACAAACATCGCCCAAAACTGGAGTAAGAGCTATAACCTTCCCTGCTAAAGCAGCTAAACTCCTTGCTGTGAACCTTGGCAAATCAGATGTGAATGCTGAAAAATTAGACACTATATCTTCTATTTTCTTGACAGGAATGGAAAGAACACTAGAATCTAAATTCCATGTGAATCCAAGCCACTCTAACTCTGCAACAGGGTGCCATACTGACTTATCAACATTAACGACAAAACCTGATTGTTCCAGAGTATCTCTAACAATGTCTGAATGAAGAGAACACAAGTCCTTCGATTTAGCATAGCCAAAGCCATCGTCAAGGTACACTACAATATAAACAGATTGCCTTCGCCAATAAGTAACTAGAGGACGAATGCACTTAGTAAAAATGTAAGGTGCAGATGTTAACCCAAACGGCAAAACTGTGAAACAGTAGTACCTAATAATGCCGTTAGCATTCCAAGCAAAACCCAAATACTGTTGTTGACTAGGATGTATATCAATGTGATGATAACCAGATTTTAAATCAAATTTAAACATAAAACCTGTATCTTGCACAAAATCCAAAGCTGTTTTATAGCCCTCAAAAACAATCTTTCTTTTGTAAACAAACTGATTGACATACCTAAGATCAAGGATAAGTCTCTTTTTGCCTGAACGCCGTGTAGCTACCGAAAGAGGATTAACAACTAAAGGGGGATTATCAAGCTCGACAATACAAGAGTTTTTTAAGAGTTCTTCAATAGCCTGTACAACGAAAGTATCGTTCCTCAATGCTGATTGGTTATTTTTAGAAAAGGATGGAGGAGGACTATCAACGAATGGAATGACATAACCATCAGTAATAGTATCGATTACAAACTGAGGGGCTCCAATATTAATCCAAAAGGAAACATGCTTCTTTAAACTGCCTTTCACGATGCACGAAGTGTTGGATTCAAACTCGTAAGACCTTAGTTGAATGAATTCAGAATCTAAGTCAGTACCTCCTAAACCTGCTGAATTATCAATGTCAAAATCTGAAGCACAGGTAGCATCCCTCTGTCGTATCTTGGTTTCATGGACTGCTGGCACCTGAACATCGGAACTGCAACTTCCCGCAGAAACTCGACCTAAAACAATTTTAAAGAATCTCTCAGGAAAGATACACACTGTTCAATTGACTAAAAGGAACAACTTCAGATATTACAGAAACACAATTACCTGAAGTGAATTCTCTACTTCTTGACAACTTGGTTGGACTGTATTGAATCGGAGCTGGCTGACTGGGCTGCACGTAGTAAAGCTGCCGCAGGACAGGAGATCCTCCAGTGGCCGAAACCTCCACAGAAGTAGCACTGTTGGTTGGGAGATGGACCTCGTTTGACCATGGGACGAAAAGGCTGGTTCTGACCGGCTGTAGAGTCCCTAGAAGCATCAACCATGCTAGCAGAAGAGACAGTAGCGCTAGGTGAAACATAGCTAGGTTTTCCTCTGGACCGGAACGAGGACGCACGTCGTTTACGGAGGGCTTTATTCTCAGCTTTCTCGAATCTACGTTCTTCCTCGGACCCAGAGGCAATATCGTCTCCCTCTAGTTCAGCTACAACGGCCCAGCCAGATGGAGAACGATCCGCTAAGCGGATATACTTGTTCCTCCTCGAGATATCTGAAGAGAGATCTTGGAGAATCCCCACACAATCAGAATACTTGCTGCTCTTAATATATCTGAAAGCACTGTCAATCTTATCCAAACAACCAGTATTAAATTTATACTGAAGTTGGTTGCCTTTAAACCTAAAATTAGGAATCTCTGAATCTTTATGAGCCCTTTTGAACGCTGAGAATGACCTTTCTTCACTCTCTTCAATAATGTCACGTTTAAATGTCTTTAGTTTGCAGTCCATATAATCTTTAAATAATTGAAATGTTTCATAACCTTCAATGGGTTCCTGCTGCTTATTCTTGTTAGGTGTATGAGAATCCTCCGAATGGTGTGAAGGGGAAACCGAATGGCGACTCATAGCAGAATGTTGACTGAAAAAAGCTGCTCGCTGTGTAGTGCGAAGACCTCGAATGGCTAAACTCACATTCAATCTCACCACGTCACCTTCGTCACGTGGCTTCTGCACAACTCGCACGTGCAAAACACGCTCACTGCAGTAGGCAAGCTCTACCGTGTTTAACCCAAAATAAATTCATTTCATTAAAGATGTAAGGTTTGATTTGTTCTGTTAGGAATAGCGATGTGACTGAAATATATTCCTGTAACCAGTTGTGATCCACTTACAGCAAGTGTACAAGTTATCAACTTTTAAGGGGAAAATAACTCGCTGGAATTTCTTCTAAAAATGGGTAGGGGCGGTAGTGGGTAGCTGAGTGGTTAAAGAGTTCGGTCACGCCGAAGAAACGTGTCGATTCCCCACATGGGTACATTGTGTGAAGCCCATTCTGGTGTCCCCGCCGTGATATTGCTGGATTATTGCTAGAGGCGGCGTAAAACTAAACTCACTCACTGGGAAATAACACTCCAATTTTGATGGATTTAAAATATGGATGGACCTTTTTTCGCTGATTCAAAACTGCTTATTATGGACTAGTTTTAGCATCTTTTGTCTTGTTATATTTAAGGTTATTGCCTGCGCGATGCGACACCTATCGGTGGATCTAAGAACGACATCAGAACGTGGGATATACTGTAAAGAACTACACCCAAATTGACGTGTTGTCGTCGCGGAATAGTGTGAACACTACTTGAAAGGGTGACGCTATCAGTCAAAATCAAATTGTGCACATTATACATCATATCCCTTCAGAGTATTCAGGCAAACGAACAGGGTGACTTTGTGCTTTGTTATACGTTGTATATGCAGAAAGTCGCCCTGTGTGTATATCCGGGTAAACCTCGGGAAAAACCCTCAGATGTATAATGTATTCCATTGTCGAGTTGTTATAGTTGTAGCAGTTTGTATTTGAGCAACAATAGCCCACAGCCCTGAGAGCCGGGCGTTCCTAAATATTGTTTACCTATGGATAAGGTTGAGCAGTAACAGTTGATAGCGGTGAAGATCCAGGTTAGAATTGGTCTGCAGCAACTCCATGCATGTCGCAACAGGCGAACGGGATCGGGTGGTCAGGCTCGCTGACTTGGTTGACACTTGTCATCGTATCCCAATTACGTAGATAGGGTGCTAACAATGTTGATCACTGGATTGCCTGGTCCAGACTACATTACTTACAGACAAACAAAGAAACAAACAAAGTAACTGTTGATGTCTCAGGCGTCCTTGTCAATTCAGGAGAATAACAAACGGCAAACGTCGTAACTGCAGTCTTCAATAGTTATATATCCCAGACATCTGAAGCTGAACAAACAAACGTGTTCGATATTACGTGTTATCATACAATCTAATATTCCAAGGTACATATAGCTTACTGGATATTATAACACGCGTTCCTATCTCAACTGGTCACGTCAGTTTGTTTCATGTGTTTCAAATTAAACCCCATTAGTCAGATGCTGAGATAGCACACACTGACCTATCAATATCCATGATATCCACGGGTAATCAAATTCACTGAGTTAGATAACAATGAACAATTATTAAATAACGTATTCTCGGCGAATTCCTCAAACAACGTATGTTGCTTTTGACATTAGTACTTCAGCTCAGATCAGCACTCCCCGGCGTGGGGTGACCTGCTGGGAATGGCTAATAGCACTCCATTGTTGGACCCGGGGCGAAATCTGTCAACAGCACCCCATTGTTGTTCGTAAAGGGCGACCAAATGGGCAACCTGTTTGCCCTTGTGTCGGTGGAGGAAGGCATTCTGGTGGTCGAGGGCAAAGGAGCCAGGAACCGTGTTCCCTTTGCCCAACACACCACTTCCAATGGGATTGATTCTATCAATCGGCTGGTCACGTCATGCCCTGTACATACAATACTTTTGTCTGTGAACATGCAAATGTGACTTGAAAGAAACCTTGTTTATGACGTACTTGTGTGATCTATTATGCCTGGAGTCCCATGCCAGTAGGCAGTGGTTCAAGGGGCAAGCTGGTGATATGGACCTCTGAATTATGAATTTCTCAAGACATTTGACCTAGGTCGAACCAGCCAGCATTTTGTGTTTCAGATTTCTTAGCTACTCATGTCTGTATTTCTGGAGTCACCCTCACCCTGGTGGTAGCGCTGGTGTTGACAGGGTGGTTTCCACTATACAACATGTTGAAAATTCCACTCGGCTGGCGGGTGGGGAAGAAGTACCTGGTGATTGATGAAGCACATCACTATGAAGTCCTTTCAGAGGCATCTTATGGATAAAATGTCATATTAGCCAGTGATATACTTTTTGGCTATTTGGGGTAATGCCCTGTCACCATCACACCATCTCCCGATGATAATCAAATATGCTAACCTCACAAAGAAATGTATTGTAAACTATTGTAAACTAAAACAATGAGACTAAGGCTTTGAATAGTTCTATCTGTATGAAATATCAGAGGTCAGGTTTCAGAGTATACAGCTATCCTGCGTGTTTCTTTGTGTAGGCCATGAACGTGTGTGGTCCTGTGCATAGAGTTCAGGTCACAAGTAACAAATCAGTTGAAATTAAGCAATGTTGGTCGCGGACACCTCTTGAATGGGTGACCGTGTTTGGCAGCTTGACTCCTGAGAGTTTCTAGGACTTCAGTCCTGCCCCACAACGAAGCACATGTGATACATGTGGTCTCACCTTAGGCAAGTGATTTTGTTCAAAATTGCCTCTGTTCACCCAGCAGAAAACGGGCAACAGTGGGATAAGTCATGTGACTATGTCCAGTTTTCAAAACTTAGCTTGGGTTCTAATGTGGTTCTAATGTGGGGTAGCCTAATGGTTAAAGCGTTGGCTGTCACGCCGAAGACCCAGGTTCGAATCCCCACAAAACCATTTCAACCGTGATGTTGCTGGAATATTGCTAGAGGCGGCGTAAAACCAAACTCAGTCCAGTCAGTCAGTCTAATGTGGAGGGATTATGTCCAATTTTCAAAACAAACAACCTGTACTATAAGTTTACAAAGTCTTAATCCGAGTAGAGGAGTTATCTCCAAATATCAAAACAAACAATGAATGATCACAAGATCCCCGATTCATTTGGCTTCTAATCATCATAGGTAGGCCTTGGGAGTCTCCCTTATAGGGTTTATTTCAAAGAGTAGACAAACTTGGGAGTAATCAGCTACACAGGTACAGTGCTCCATTATATGTTTATGTTCATGAGTCGTCAAACTGGGAGTAGTCATACTGGGACTAGTCATAATCTGAAGATACCCTCAGCTTGGGTTATCAGGGGTAATAATAATCAGATTGTAGCTCTTTGAGCGTGCCCATCCGTGGTGCGGAATTCAACACATTACAAATGCCCTTATTATTATTATTCTCTTGCTGGAGATGAAAACTATACGAAAATAACAAAACAAATCAAAACAATAATAAAATACAAACTATATGTTGCACTAAATGGTTCTTTTAGCCTTTGATTCCTCCATATAGCTGGAATATTGCTGACCGCGGCATAAAACTCAACTCACTCATTCATTTAGCCCTTGATTGTGTATGAAGGTTGAGGTTGATCAAAGTCCTCTGTTATAATTATGTGACAGGTGTTACAACTGTACTTTACCTTCAGGACAGTGAGTAATGGAAGGAAATCCCGACGCAAGTGACCATCAGATGACCGGAAGGCTTACTGGGAAGCAGCTGAAGTCCTGAGGAGGAACGAACAAGGGAGACAACCAACCTCTATATTAGCCACACAGCACAACTACAGTGAGCATTTCATACTCAAAGTCATGCATGCAGTTAGATAAGCATGAGTATTAGCAGGAGATGGTCTATAAATATAGGCTTGAGTAAGAAAGAACTGATCCAAGTGAAATAATTTGTTTGAATTTATGCTTAGACAGTATGAGAATAACAGGAAAATTGAGACCAGAGGTTAACTTGTTCTGTTGCAGGTGGTCCAGTGTCTCAGGTGGACTTGACCAATGCGTCCAATGTCTCTGTCTCCGTTGGGGAGCAAGGAACTAGAGGATGTCTATCCCAAGGTGAGATGCTGCACAAACATACTGATAAATTGATAGAGAGGATAATGACGACAAGCCCATCTCTTGTGCTGTTTTCCATCCCTTATGTAGTCGCTGAAAGGGCACAACTATTGTCATGAAAATGAAAAGTTTTGCATGGTCACTAGGGCTAAGGGTTGATTAATTGGAAAATCCATAACAATCTTCCCAAATAAACTGGGGATTTGTTGAAGGAAAACCAAGTTCTATGGATAGTCAACTTCTTTATTGCAATGAGTGCTGGGGATTTGTTCTCAGCTTTTATCGTAAAAATAATTGCTCAGAAGACATGATAGATGTCCTGAACAAAATACAGTTGATCTAAAATATTTACAATATTCTCGTTATAGACCGATTAAAATAAATGCGTGTAAGAGGAAACTTTCGTTTTGTGCAGTGAGCATAAAATGTGGAAATGTCACAATTACTTGTATAAATTGCCAGAATCAGACCCAAACACCGACCACATTAACTGTCTAACAATTTCATATCCCTTTCCCCACAGAACGTTTCTGTCAAAAGTTGGAACACCTAAAGAAGTATTTTGTGGACATCCATGCCCTCCAGACAGCCAAACAACTCCTTGAGAAGCATGGTCATATCAGCATCTGTGGAGCTCCAGGAGATGGGAAGACCAGCATTGCTCTGATGATCTGTGAGGAATATCAACAACAGGGATATGAAACAGTGTTTGTGGAAAACATTGAACACTTTGATGTTGATACAATTTCTAAACGACAATCACACATGTTGGTTGTTTTGACGATATATTTGGCTCTGTTACATTCACTTCAAATTTGGAAAGACTAACTATACTGTTTAGTGCTTTGGTTGATGATCGTGCTGAAACTGCTGCAGACACAGTGGTTTCAAAGAAGAAAAAGAAGGATGAACAACCGAAAGGGAAGGACGAATCCAAAGAAGAACCCCCTGTCTACAGACTGAAGCTTGTGTTCACATCTAGGACATACAACTGGAAGGAAGGATGTTCCAGACTACATCAGTACAAAGTGGATCTACTCACAACAAAAGCTGTTCTTGATATGGCTAAAGACTGTCTCACGACTG